TTCTGAAGTTGCCCTGCACAAATTCTCCTCAGGACGAAATAGTGAAAACGCCACAAGAGCTCTGGAGGTAAAAGAGATATAGCAACGTATGTCTAGTCTTTGGTACTGTTTTTGGAGGTAATAACATCGCGGTAATTAAACTGGCAACTTCTTGTACCGTTTCACTTTTCCGATGCATCCAAGCTTGCTGTGCTTGAGTAACTACTTCTTGTTTTCTTGCAGTGAGTACAATGAATGTTAGTGCAGTGCGGCTTAAGGGAGGAAAAGTAAGAGCTTTCTATAACAAGCATTATCTTCTTATCATTTTATTTATTCTCATCAACCACGAAAGTAGCAGCAAGTGCTTCTCAATGATTCTGCAATGTTGCTTAATGATACACGAAGAGACCAACCGATTCCGTAATCTTGCTGAAGCAGAACTACACATCAACGCCAGTTGTTACCCTTTATTCAAAGAGTGGAAGGCTTCAGATCTGCTAAAATAGATGCTGATTTGAATATCAGCTCTGGCTGATCAATGAAAATAGATAAGGCAAACTTTCATCCTGTCCTGTTTCTGAATAGTTACTGGTTTCTAAAACTTTATTGCCTTCTAAGCCAAAATCAAGCCTGAATACAGAGCTATGAAGAGCAACGAGTTTTAGATTAGTGTGATTTTGTATAGTTTGGCAGCTCAAAGACACTCGTAAACTATGTAACATAAAAATTTGCATTCAAGTCTAAATTTGTTTAGATTGACCAAAGCCTCAACAGCGAAAGTGAAGGAATGGTAATCCCAGACATTTATGGAGAAGATGAAAATATCACGTGCTTTTCGTTGAATGAAGACTTTCTAGTCTATGGCTCCAACGTATGTTGGGATATTTCCATTTATTATTTTATTTCGTTTGTGCATCAACTGCCAGAGAGTTTCTAAGTTTTCATGCTCAGCTTGTAGCAAATGTACAAAATCATATGATATCATTTATAGAACACTGATTAATATCCTCGCTAAAAGCACTCAAACAATCAGAATGATACAATGGCAAAAAAATTATTAGCTGGTGAAAGGACATGTAGACGATCCTGCTTTATTGACACTGATCTACGGTGCTTTCTAGAATAATTCGCAACCGATTGCTGCGTGGTCGGCCTAGGCACTAACGTATTTCAAGCGGAAAGTCTAGAGCTTTCC